TTTGGCATGTTAAAATCAAGAGATGGTATGTGAACTACACCTCAGTGAAGTTTTATTTTAAACAAAACTGGGCCAGCATGGTGGCTCACACCTGTGAGATACAGAGAGACTAACTGAAGGTCTCAAGAATCGAGGTAAAAGTGGACAGTGACCTAAAACTAAGAGACTAGCAGTGAAAATGAACATAAGCAGATTCCGAAAGGTACTTAGCAAGTAAGATCAATAAAACTCGGTGAGTGACTAGATTTAGGCATGTGTGTAGGAGACACGGGGGTGTCGGTCTAGGACCACAGTGTGGATGATGGTGTGTCCACTAAGCTAAGGTATGCAGGAAGAAGTGCTGAGGTGACAGATTTAGAGATGGGGGAAGAAAATGACTGCAGTTTTGAAAATGTGGGTCACAACTTAAAGAACCATTTTTGCCATTTGCTGCTTATGAGATCTTGGCTGTAAGTTGGTTAACCTCCTTGGATCTCAGTTTCTGATTCTTGATTAAATAAAATAACCTCTAATATCACCACCTTTTCCAAAATTCTACTCTCTGAAAGAAAGTGGTAGCCTAATTCACTGGGGGAATGTTGCAGCCAGGCTGGGGTGACCCAGGAGTAAGGAACACAGCAGGCCCAAGGGCAACCGTCCACCTCAAGTTTCCTTACAAAATCTGGCAGCAACAAGAACTCTTTTGTAACCACACTTGCCTTCAGACATCTCTGCTGAGCAGCATTTCCGTGCTAACTCATGCTCTGCCTGCTATTCGTTCATTTCATCTATGAAGTGCTTGTCTTCCCTGTACGTGGAACCCTGCACTGGTCCTTACTGACCTTGATACTCCATTCTGATCTGCTCTTCACTGCCCTGAATGTGTACAAACGCAATGGTCCAGTTCCCTCCTGACTCCTGGTGAAGGAAATGTTAAACAGTAGGACACTCAAGGAAGAAACCCAGGATAACAGGGACCTGCTGACTCTTCCTTCTCTCAACCTAATATAATTTTACTAATGTTTCTGCTTTTCTTGCTCTACAAAGTACTAGACATCCACTCATTTCACTTAACACATTAAGTGCCACGTGAGTTGTATTTAACTCACGCCAGCTTTGAGCCAGGGCCTCGTGAAGCATACGCAACTCACACATCTCTTTACCTTGGGAGCCATGTGAATTGTTTTTCAAGTTGCATATAACTCACACACAGAAAACAATAAAAAATAACAAATTTTTCATTAAATTAGAAAGGATCATTTTGTTTTTGAACTTTTTATTCTATTTTTGTAATAAAACACTGTGGCCCCAAGGAAAAAAATTTTTTTCTAGTGTAGTATTACTAAATTACCTCACTAAACAACGAGACAAAACAGCTTAGCCAATAAAAATGAGAAAATTAGCTCCTTTTTGGCATGTTAAAATCAAGAGATGGTATGTGAACTACACCTCAGTGAAGTTTTATTTTAAACAAAACTGGGCCAGCATGGTGGCTCACACCTGTAATCCTAGCACTTTGGGAGGCTAAGAAGGAAGTACTGCCCGAGGCCAGGAGTTCGAGACCAGCCTGTGCAATATAATGAGACCTTGTTGTTACACAAAATTTAAAAATTAGCTGGGCATGGTGGCACACATCTGTAGTCCCAACCACTAGGGAGGCTGAGGCAGGAGGATCACTTAAGCCTGGAGTTTGAGGTTACAGTGAGCTATGACAACGCCACTGTACCCTAGCCCGGGTAACAGAGAGAGACCCTGTCTCAAAAAAACCCAAAAAACAATGGGAAGTAAGTTCCCACCTCTGATATAACAAGCTTGGAGGAGATGGCTCTGTGAGAAGCCCTACCAGGTTTTATCATTCTAACTTTTGCAGATCTGGTAAATAAAAAATGTTAAATCATCTTCATTTGCATTTATTAAGTGAGGTTGAACATCTTTTCATATTTCCTGGCCATTAATATCTCTTCTGAGCTGCTTGAGCATGTCTTTTAAAATTTCTTTTACTGGGGTGTTCCCATTTTTTAAATAATTCGTCAAAGCTCTTTATGTATTTATGATATTAATCTAATGTCTGTCCTATATGTTACAAATATATTTTTCCCAGTTTGTCACTTGTCTAAATTTTTAACATTATTTAAGTTTTTTTTTAAACTGTAGATAAGCTTAACATTTTTATGTTGTCTAATTTAATTCTTTTCCTTTATGGAATCTGGCTTTTATGCCACACTGTTTAAAGAGACTTCATCAACCATTACATATGTCCACTTATTATACTTTTTAGTACTTACGTAGTCTTAAATTTTTACATTTAAGTCTTTAATTCATTGGTATTTATTTTGAGGTAGGGTATGAGATTGGGATATAACTTGATTTTCTTTCCAACTAGTTAATCACTTGTCATAATTCCATTCACTGAAAAGTCCATTTCTCATGTTGATTTAAAATACCATGTTGATCATATACGAAATCCCTAAATATATTCAAGTCTGTTTCTAGACTTTACCTTCTATTACGGTTTACTGATCTAACATTAACACTTAGTTGCTTGTTACAGTTACTTAGTGCTTTTTAATATCTGACAGAACAAGCCTCTCTCTATTTCTCCCAATTCTTTAGCCCCACATCCACCTGCCCTTCATATTCGCACACCTCCCTGTAAGGTGGCATCTCCATGTGGCTGTAGTGGGAGCACGCAGAGCAAGGCATGACGAGCACCGAGAGGTAAGCAGCAGACAGCCACGGAGAGCTCATAGGCTACGTTCTGGAGTTTGGATTTTATCTTGAAGGCAGTGACCCAACAGTAACATGGAAAGGAATTATATGTTATTTACACTTCTGGGTGGAGAATGGAGAAGTGAAGACTAGATACAGAGAGACTAACTGATGGTGTCAAGAATCCAGGTAAAAGTGGACAGTGACCTAAAACAACCTAAACAACGAGACAAAACAGCTTAGCCAATAAAAATGAGAAAATTAGCTCCTTTTTGGCATGTTAAAATCAAGAGATGGTATGTGAACTACACC